TCTCTGTCCCCGACTGACCCCCACTGCCCCATCCAACCCCTGCTCCTTCCTGACTGCCCTCATTCAATCCCCCTGTTCCCTGCCCTCTGACCGCCCCCTATCCACCCCCCACCACAATCTCCCAAACTCCCCTGCCCTCTTCCAACACCCCCTCCCTGCTCCCTTCCCCCTTACTGTACTGTCTGGAGCCGCTCGGCCGGGTCCGGGTCTGGGTCTGCTCGGCCGGGACCGGGACCGGCTCCACGGGGCCCAAGCTGAGCTGGGCCGGGCCAGAGCCGCTCGACTGGAACTGGCACCGCGGGGCCCGAGCTGAGCCAGGCCTTAGCCGCTCGACCGGGACCGGCGCCACGGGGCCCTACTCCCCAAGCGAGGCCAGATGGAGCCGCTCGGCCGGGACTGGGACCGGGCCCGGGCCGGAGCCGCTTGACCAGGACCGGCACTGCGGGGCCCAAGTCAGGCCAGGGCCAGGACCGGGCTGGGGCATTCAGTGGGGGCCGGCCAGGGGCCAGGCTGGAGGGAGCCGTTCGGCCTGAGCTGGGCCGCGCCTCCCTGGAGCCCCCCGTCCCAGCTTACCTGCCTGCTGCTTGTTTCAGGCTTCCCGCGAACATCTGATTCGCGGGAAGCAGGGGAGGGGAAGTGGGGCGGAGGGTTCAGGGGAGGAGGGGAAAGTGAGCTGTGGCCGGGGACGGGGTGAACAGCTGCCTGAGCTTTTGTTAAATTTAAAAGCCCTTTTAGAACCCATTGTCCCAGAACAACGGGTTCTAAAAGGGCTTCTAAATTTAACAACCGGTTCCTGCGAACCAGTGAGAACCGGCTCCAGCTCACCACTGGTTGCAACAATGCTCTATATGGTCATATTGTAATCAGATAACATCACACTGTCCTTAGCATCACAAAACTGCTCTAAAAGTACAAAAATACCGCTGCTCATAAACAGTTGTGAGAAGGAAATATTAATGCTGATGTTTAGGTATCAGGGTTTTCATTATATATATTTGAAAATCCCATCCTACAATCCTAGTTAATGATTTAGGAGCACAAGCCCTATTGACTGTCACTGAGACTGTTCTCCTAAGCAACTTAATGCTTAAGTTTCTTAAAATGCAGTTTTTAGGCTTCCGATTGTGTTAAGCAACTCATTTGAATTTCTCATATGTAGCTATAAGAATTGTTTAATATAAAATTAACTAAAGTGATTTGAAAAATAATTACTAAAAAACTGTTGATATTTAAAAAGCAAGAGTGACAGTGTTGGATCCCAGTACTGAACCCAGATCCTTAGGTATCAGCCTTAGCTGCGGTGCCACAGCAATGCACTCAGCTGTTCCCTGACCAACAGGCTGAGTGCTAAAGGCTCACAGCAGCCATGCCCCTGATAGGACGGACAGGCACCACTCTCACTGGGTGCCTGGACTATATAAAGTCCATAAGGAAAAGGAAGCTGTCTGAGCAACAAACCAGTGCCTGCCAGTTGCTTCCTAGACTTCCTTGCCTTGCTACTTCTCCTGACTCTGCTTTATCACTTTGTCAGACCTCACCTTCTCAACACAGTGACCCAGCCCCTTGGATCTTCATTTTATGACCCCTGTGAGAACTCTGACCATTGTCCTGGATTACCTCTGATATGCAGGGCTATCCTTAGCCGTAGGCAGCATAGGGCACCAGTATGTCTGGGGCACCACTCTGCTGGGAGCTGGGACGGACGGGAAGCAGTGGAGCATGTAAGAGCAGGGTTGGGTCCTAGAGAGCCAAATGAGCTGCCTACAGCAGTCTGAGGGAGAGGGATTGGCTGCTGGGATCTCTGGGAAGAGGTGGGGGAAGGAACTCAACTGTGTGACTCTCTCTCCCGGTGTGAGGTGAGGCAGGCTGGGCAGCTCTGGCAGTATCCTTTGTTGCCCACCATAGGGTGTATTCTCCCCCCCATGGAGCACCCCCCATATCTCCCCTCCTCTCCGGCAGGGGTGGGGTGAGGTGGCAGCCTGCCTGCTGAGGAAATGAAAGTGAAAGTGACTCACTTCATCGGCAGCCAGCCCAAGCAACAGGGGTTGGATTGGAATGCTCACACACAGCTGGCTGGGCTGGGGATAGGATGACCAGATAGCATGTGTGAAAAATCTTCAGGAGAGGGGGTTGGGGTAGGGTGACCAGATGTCCCACTTGTATAGGGACAGTCCCAATTTTGGGGTCTTTTTCTTATATAGGTTCCTATGACCCCTGCCCCTGTCCTGATTTTTCACATTTGCTGTCGGGTCACCCTAGGTGTGGGGTAATTGGTGCCTATATAAGACAAAGCCCCAAATATCAAGACTGGCCCTATAAAATCAGGACATCTGGTCACCGTAGCTGGGGAGTACGTCTCTCCCCTGGGCTGGCAGCGATCCATCTCATCCGGAGGGAGCAGCGCAGGGCAGGATGAGCTGCTGTGGCTCCGTGGGTGCCCCGTCCCTGAGATCAGATGCTGGGCTAACTTCACCATGGTCCGTGGTGCTGGCGGTGGTGCCCAGTGGCTTGTGATCGGACCTGAGGGTTTGCTGCTGCTGTTGCCACTCTGCACCCCAAGAGGTGGATTTTGGGGTCCTGCAGTTTTCCACCCATCTCCTCCTCTACTGCAGCTGTTGGACCAGCAGGCTGGGGGTGAGCCAAACATGAAAGCAGTACTGTGTTTCCATTTAGATTATTATTTTACAACTTAGTTTGCCAAAAATGCTTGCTAACAATCCTGAATCCAATTTCAATATTTTTTTAAATAAATATCTTAGCCAAAAACAGAAAATTAAGTTGTTGACAATTATTTGTGACAAGTTTGGTTTGGGGCAGGGAGTGGGCCAGTTTTCATCAGAGAAACAAAAAATGTTGACTGGCTTTCCTGTAGTCCTATTACTGCTAAATAGAGCCCTCCAACGACTGTAATATGCTCATCCCCTTACTAGTGTATAGAGTGACCATATGTTGTACTATGATTCTCTTGCTTTATTTGCCAGTGAGTCAGAATAGCTTTTGCCAGCCCAGAGGTTGGGCAGCCAATGTCTTACATTTTCACAATGTTTTGTCCAACTTTCATAAAGTAAATACATGGCTAATATGAGTTTAAAAGGCCAGGGACATTTCCCTGTGAAGAATCAGTGCAACAGATCATGCTAGAGCTGTGAAAATCTCAGTTTTTGATGGAACTTTAGAGGCAGTGATTTATCATACATTTCTGGCAGTGCCCAAAATGTGCTACTATTGCTAACGTCTTTCCAAACAAAAATAAGGCATAATAGGACTTCTGTAACATTTCTGTGCTACCTTCATCTAGATGAGATGATTCTGTGCTGACTTCATTTTGGTCACTTTGTGCTTTACCTAGGAATAAAACCAGGGTTATATTTTCCCACTGTTTGGAAACCAAGCTTATTAAACTGGACAATGCCATTGATCTATTTACAGTATAAGATTGATATAGAGTTGTAAACTAACATTAAGATTGATGTCCATTATACATTTAAAATTAAAAAGTGGCTTTGTAAAAATGACATGGGTTTCCAACTCTACTATGTCTCAGTCAGGGTGGAGTGCCTTGTGAGGTGTCTTCACACTAGCTCAAAGTCACAGATACATGGCTATCCTAAATTAGTTATTTTAAATAATATTTCTGATAATCTGACAATAATTTAAACAGTTATTTCTTTAAAAAACACCCTTATAAGTTATCTTGTATCGAAAATAACTTTCCGGGTCACAAAAAAGAAAATGGAAAGATGAAATAGGATTAGCTATACAAGCACAGAAGGGTTCTATACTTAAGTTTGTACATCAAGAAAACCACAAAGTTGATCAAGATTATCAAGTAACTGCCGAAGAAAATTTTTATGCAGACGAAACTCAAGAAACGCAACAACACACAGAACAATCATTTGAAACAGCTGCAGACACAAAAACAATAAATTACAACAGTTGAAACTGTACTAGCATGAGATATAGATGACATTGGCGCATGGCCGCAATCTTTAAACAACGAATTACGTGCCATTATACTTGAGCAAGGCCCTATGAGAATAAAAGTTCTTGAATATCTTAAAGACATTAGAGGTAGGAAATTCACAGAAAACAATTACTACAAAAGACTTTCTAATGGTGAAATTGTCAACAGACGGTGGCTTGTGTACTCTAAATGCAAGGATGCTGTATTTTGTTTCCCATGCAAGATTTTCAATAGTTGCAATTTTAAGATCGCAACCCATGGGTATTAATGATTGAAAAAATCTTTGTCACACATTACCACAACATGAAAAGGCACAACACTACATTGAAAGTATGCACAAATGGTGTGAGCTGAGTATAAGGTTAAAAAAAGTCAGACAACTCTTGAGGCCCAAAATCAAAGATTGCTGGAGTCAGAGAAGCAGCATTGGCGTCATGTTCTTGAACATCTATTATCTATTGTTGAATTTCTATCAACAAATAATCTTGCTTTTAGAGGAAGCATTGAGAAATTATTCCAGCCCAAAAATGGCAATTTTTTTGGGCCTTGTACAACTGCTGGGAAAATTTGACACAGTGATGAGTGAACATCTCCAAAGAGTAACTGAAAATGAAATACATGACATACATGACCACTATTTGGGACCAAGAATTCAAAATGAACTGATCATGCTAATGAGTGATAAAGTGAAAGACAAAATTGTTTCATTGGTTACTTTGGCAAAATATTTTGCCATAATTCTAGATTGCACTCCTGACATAAGTCATCAAGAACAGATGTCATTAATAGTGAGATTTTTCAACAGTGATTCAACACAGATTACAGTTAGGGAATTGTTTATCACATTTTTAGAAGTAGAGGACACTACAGGTTTTGGACTTCAAGTTCTCCTTGATGAACTAAAACGAATGGGATTGTCTGTAATGAACATTAGAGGACAAGACTATGATAATGGTGCCAATATGAGAGGATGCATTTCTGGCATGCAAGCTAGATTGCTGGCAGAAAATCCACGAGCCTTTTTTGTTCTGTATGCATGCCACAGCCTTAATTTGATTTTGTGTGATATGGCCAAGTCTTCTGTAGAAGCGATTTCTTTTTTGGTTTGCTGCAATGCATTTACGTGCTCCTTTCAGCTTCCACTCAACGATGGCAAATATTCAAAACACATGTCAATGGTATTACCGTTAAGCCTCTATCTGAGAGGCACTGGGAAAGCAGAGTAGAAAGTGCAAAAACGTTGAGATATCAATTTGAGGAAGTTTACGAAGCACTGGTTGCTATTTCAGAAGAAGCCAGAGATCCAAAAGCTAAAAAGTGAAGCACAATCATTGGCCTCTGAAATATCCAGCTTCAAGTTTCTAACATCTGTCGTAATCTGGTATGACATTCTTGTTAAAATCTCAAGTGTAAGCAAAATAATGCAGAGTCCAATGATGCAGCTTGATTCAACATTTACCTTACTAAACAAACACACAAGACTTTTTAGTAAAATACAGAGAAAATGGATTCAAAGAAGCACAGATTACAGCAAGAGAGCTTGCACAGGCACTTTGTGTAGAACCAAAATTTCCATGTCCGAATGTGACACGAGTTTCAAGGAAAAAACAGAAAGCAGAGTATGAAGGAGCAAATAGACGATCTGCTATGAGCTCATAGATGATCCATAAAAGAAATTTGAGGTTGAATTTTTTAATGTTGTGATGGATAAAGCAATATCTGCCATTGACGAAAGGTTTAATACCTTATGAGTACATCATGAACAGTTTGGATTTTTGTATGACATAACTAAATTCAACAAAATAGGAAAACAAGAGCAGTGAATTACAAAGTCCAAGAACCTAGAGAGGCTTCTGAAGCACAGTGATAGCTTTGATTTAAATGGACTTGAACTGTCCGAAGAATTGAGTACATTGTCATCCGTGTTGCCACATGCAAAAATCGATGATGGACGTTGCACAGTTTATTCATACCAGCAAACTTATTGACATATGTGTACATTGCCACTCATATTCTACTGACAATTCCTGTAACAGTAGCATCAGGAGAACAGAGTTTCTCAAAACTAAAGCTCATTAAAAACTATCTCCGTTCTACGAGTCAGGAATGCTTGACTGGTCTTGCTATTCTTGCAATCGAACAAGACATCACTTTGTCTTTATCCTACGATGACATTATTACTGATTTTGCAGCCAAAAAAGCCAGAAAGGTTGTTTTTAATTAAAAACAAATCCTCGTTTCAATACCTCTTCATAGAAATTTCCAATAAAATGTTGACAAATTAAAAAAATTATATTTGCATCATTCTGTCAATAAATCAGAAGGGGCTGGGGCTTCGGGGTTGAGTCTATTATAGATGATAGTACCATTGTGCCAAATCTGAAATCTGTAGCAGAGTCCCCGAGGATAGCATAGTGTTCTGCAAAGGTATGTGCTGATGCCCAGGTAGCTGCTCTGCAGATTTTTGATATAGGGATACCCTTGGAAAAGGCAACGGACAAGGAAACTCATCTCGTGGAATGTGTATGGACTGTAGATAAAGGTGCTAGGTTGCAACCCTGCTAACAGTGTTTCATACAATTTGAGACCCATTTAGAGAGTCTTTCAACTGAAATCGCTGTGTCTTTGGACCTGTCTGCGATGGAAAGGAAAAGCCCAAGATATTTTCTAAAAACCTCTTGTCCTGTCCAAATAAAAGGCCAAGGCTCTCCTTACATCGAGCGTATAGAGGATGGCTTCCCTATTATCCTGGTGAGGCTTAGGATAAAAGGTTGGAAGGTGAATGAGTCAGTTCATGTGAAATGCGGAAGTCACCTTGAGGATGAACTTTGGATGTGGTCTAAGCGTGACTTTGTTGGGGAAGACCACTGTGAATGGGGGCTATGCCATCAGGGCCACTATCTCCCCTATCCTTCTTGCCGAGG